CGGCCGCGGAGGGAGGAGGAGGCTGCTGCTGCGCGCGCCCGGAGCTGGACAGGCTCTGCCGGCTCCGGCCGGCCGGGGTTCTCCTGTTGAAACGCGTGTCTGCGGAGGAGAAATGCGCTGCAGCTTCGCAATAATCCTATTCCGCCGATAGTTTTATTACAACGTCATTTTAATAAAATGATCCAGAAAGGGCTGGTACAGCTGGCACACAAGAATAACGGAGGCATGTGGACTAAAATGCTGGGAGGTATAAGCCCATACAAACTAGCAACTTGACTTCAATGTTCAGTGTGTTGTGATAGATAAAAAAAATACCAAGTACTTCTAAGCAGCTCTTGTCATGAGTAACAATGGCCAAAGGAAAATGGGGCTAGAATCAGAGACCTGAAATGTGCAGTCTCTAGAAGGAGGCTGGCTACAGATGTGTGATTCTGGGTTTCTTGTCTGAACAGGGAGGCAACTGGACTATGTGATTTCCGTCCAGATTAGTACGGGAGTTGAAAACATCATTGATTTGAATTGGAGGGAAATATTAAGTCCTATCAAACCATCTGCAAAATAATTAGGATAAACTCATTTAATAAGCATATACTCTAGGCTGGACACACTGGGCACTTCCTATTATTTCTTTTCATCTTCACAACACAGTTTTAATAGAGGGTAAAAATAATATGCTGGTCTTTCCAGCTATGTTGTTCACCTTCCCTTCCTCCCAATAGCCAGAATATAAACTTTAAATTGTGTTTCCTAGTTGAGCAAAGTATACAATTTGATTTCCAGAGTCTATTCTGACTAAAAGCATCATTTTTTTGAAATGATGACTCTAATAAGATAGTCATTTGAATTCCTTCAGGGCTTATTCCCTACTGGCTTTTCCAAGTTGACTAAATTTACAGCCAAGGGAATTTTGAGCTTGGGGAGAAGCTGGCTTGGTAAATGCAAACTATAAATTAAAAGTGTCTATTATGCATAGAAATACAATGTATCTGTGACAAATGATAAATGTATGAAGTGGCATATTCAAAGTTTATTATTACTCACCCATTTTCATATTTTCTATACGTGACACTTTAAACTTTGGAAAATTGGATTATTGATCCAAATGTTTATCTGGGTTCAATGCTGAAATTAGAACAGCCATTTTCAAATGTGCACAAAATTATGTATCTGGATAATTAAGTTCACTTCTTCAACACTTGGGGGAATTAAGTGTCAGTGTGTGCAAACTGCAAGTCACTCCTGCTGGAGAGGCGTTTTAAAAGGAAACGACAAGGACCCTGGTCGGGTTATTCAGTGGTTAGAGCATCCTCCCAATAAGCCAAGGCTGCGGCTTCCATCCCTAGTCAGGGCACATGCTGGAATCTACCAATGAATGCATAAATAAATGGAACAACCAATCAATGTTTCTCTCTCTCTCTCTCTCTCTCTCTCAAATCAATATATTTTTTAAAAGGGTATTGCCCAGCCAACATGGCTCAGTGGTTGAGCATTGACCTATGAACCAGAAGGTCACAGTTCGATTCTAGTCATGGCACATGCCCAGGTTACAGGCTCAGTACCCAGTGAGGGATGTGCAGGAGCCAGTTGATCAATGATTCTCTCTCATCACTCATGTTTCTATTTTTCTCTCTGTCTCTCCCTTCCTCTCTGAAATCAATAAAAATATTTTTTTAAATATTTAAAAGGTATATTTCAAGACCCTTAAAAAATAAAAGGAAACAAGTAAGGACTAAGGACAAAGTGGGCAGAACAAATGGAAGGGTAGAGGTTTGTGCAGTGATGCTTCTGGAAAGATAAAAGATGGTGATGATGAGTAAGCCCAGCCTTCCATCTCTATTCCTTTGGGTAGTGTGAGCAGACAAGTCGCTGGGATCTGTTTTTAAAAGGCTAGTAGGCTTGTCCCCATGAAGTTACCACAGGCAGAACAAATAAAATATAACTCAGGATGCAGATGAAGTATTCGAGAAATAATTGTTCAACAAAGCTTTTCAAAGGTTTTTCTATCTCCATTATCCAAATTACACAGCTCTGAGACCACAAATCCAGAAGGCAGGTAGCTGAGGTGCCTCCAAATTATAAAGTTCGAAAGGCACGAGCATCTGGGGAGGGGGGCGGGGGGGGGCGGATAAAAAAGGAATGTCTACTTTCTATCCAGTAAGCGTTAAATAGGCATTTTCCCCAATATGGTAGATATGTACCAAACTGCAATCAGCTCGGGAGGTTGGATTGTGGGAACTTTTACTTTCTATATCACATTTCTCTATAATAATATAATCTTTCAAAGCACAGGTAGTATAATCAGAAATATATATTAAATATTTAAAATGTAGGTAGAGGAAGGGTTTTTTATCTGCAACAACAACAAAAAAACCTCATGAACTGTAAGCAAATGAGATTCTCAGAGTCTAGCAAACAAGTGGTAGTGAATAAAAAGTCATAGTACAGTACCCATTCTCACTATTTGAAGGCCTATATCATTGACATGGTCTTTATTCAGAATTGTCTTTATCACTTTTAGTGAATGTAAAATATATTTATCTCCTCACCAGAGGATATGGTTACTTTTTTTTTTTTTTAGAGAGAGACAGACTTTGATGAGAGAAACATCGATTGGTTGCCTCCTGTACACACCCCCACCAGGGATCAAGCCTGACCCCAAAACCTAGGTATGTGCCCTGACCAGGAATCAAACCAGCAATCTTTCCTTGCAAGGGATGACTCTCCAACCAACTGAGCCACACCAGCCAAGGCGAGAATGTAAAAATATTGATAAGATCTCCTATAGACTCACTGATGACTGTTGTTCCTCTCTTTGTGTTTTCCCTTAAATTCCTCAGAGTTTTTTAGGAACCAAACTTTTACAGTTGGGGAAAGACCACTGAAAACTTAAATCCTAAATTATACCATTTTGAGTTCAGATTTTTACTATCAAAGTTACACTTTAAAAAGCTGCATGAATGGCTATCATTGTTTTCTCCTTTATTTCTCAGCAGAAAAAAATGTTTTAAAAATAACTTCAATCACTTAAAATTCACTCGTATTTAGTCTGTGGTGCATTTTTAGCTTTTAAAATTCATATTACTTTGCATAAGTTATTTCAGTAATGCAGACCATGTACCAGTATGATGGAAAAGTTGAAGGGAAAAACTTAGAAGACACAACCAAAACAATCACCTTCAAAAATAATTTGTGGCCCTGACCCGTGTGGCCTAGTTGGTTGGAACATCTTCCCACACGGGGTGTGTATGCGAGGCAACCATCAATGCCTCTATCTCACATTGATGTTTCTCTATCTCTCCCCTTTCCTCTCTCTAAAATAAATTAAAAATAACAATAATAATATGTGTAGAAGAGTCTGGGGCATGAGTCAGTAGGCCTTCTGAGCACATTTTAAAAAGATAAGAATCTTGCCCTCTGGGGGTGAACACTCTAAGCCTGGCACTTCTTAACAAAATAAACAA